TAATCGTTATCAACGACTCCCCGAACTGTTCTATTCTATCACTATTATTGCTGCAACTCCCACTGAAGTTGTTTAACCCGTAAGTGCCAATGCTTATAGCGTGGGTGACGGTTTTTTCTTACTGTGAGGTGTGGTTTTTCAATCGGAAAATTTAACGCTGTTTTTGTTCACCTACTATCCAATAGTGTCACGACCCAAATCATTCTTCAATTCACACACAAACGCGCGTTGCACACACTACTTTGATTAGATAATAGAAAGTCCCGTCAGTGGTAACCAGATCACCGTTATTCATTTCATACCTCACATCTAGGTCAACTACTACCAACACGTCTCAAATGATCGTTCGATCCGGGCCATCGTACACATGCAGTTCAAACTCGTACCCAATCAATGTTCATCTTCCAACACGACAAAGCACGGTTCTTTGTGACACGAATTCGAATCATCACGTTCAATTTGAGCAAACCCATTTGCGCACTAGAATCCCGTCGGCAGTCACCATACCTCCCGGTTCTGAGCGGCGTCGTCCCGCGCCTCATACACCAACAGCAATGCGAAACGGAGTCTCATTCTCAACACGACTTCAAACCAACTCCCGTACTTCAGTTCCACCTAGGAAAACGAATGCCACCACGTTCACTCGTCCTTGTCGGCAACCCCCATTCAAATAAGATTCGTCCACCATACCGTCCCACGAACTACCCGTGTCTTTGTATTTGTACAAAAGTTTTCTACCCCACATTCCTTTGCAGTGGTTGTAGTCATGCATACATCCTTGATCGGGTTCGGTTCGCTATTCAGAGATGTGAACCGGGTGACCGACCTCATGTGGCATTTATCTCCATCTACTTAATTTCACATACACACCAGTCCCACCCTACCTTATTACTCCCACTTTTCTTCCTTTCTGTGGTCACTATCTTCCTGTTGGATCTCATTTTCCATCTAATTAGTCTAAACATTTGCGCTCAAAATGGACCAGCTGGTGAATATAACAGTTTGCTCTTAACCCGTCCCTTTTGCTGTTAACGTTGTCGTTGTTTTCGTCCCTCTGTTTTTTCTAAACTCTTGTTACTGTTGTTGTTCGTCTGTCAGTAACCAAAACGGCGCACGAAAGTGTATGGCTAATGGTTGTCCAATCTGAAAAACTGTCAGTTCATTTTTTCCTCCAAGAATTAACGTTTGTCACCGTGATCATTACCATCAGCATCCTCCTCATTCATTCTTGGATGTCTCGTCATTTTTGTTTGATAGTGCACAGAACGATATCCTTCTGCCTTCATGAATTATTCCTCTCACGATCATTCAAATCGAGGTATCGCATGCCTTTTTCCTTGATCACTCCCCGCAGTCTTCGTCTCCCGCGCGCTGTCTAATCGCCTATAATGAATCACAAGCTCTTTCTTTTGCAAACATTTCGAACGAGATCGCCATTGGTTGGACCTCCCTACGTGGAGTTCGTAAATGCTGTTGTTTATATTGCAGATCTTCATGTCTAACTTGGTCCATGAAATGTACTTTTGTGTGTTAGTACTATCGTTGTTACACATTTGAGACTCCAACGTGCCCACCTATTTCACTTATTCGCACTCGACTCAGAACTATGGGCCAGTAGAACCTATCTTTCCCCGTTCTCTTCGAACAGCTCCCATCTCGACTCATGTGTGACTCCACTTTCCTCGCCCACCCGTCGAGTTCTATCCTTCTGGTTGCATGTTCCACGCGGGCTGATTCATTTTCAAATCCTAAATGCAAACACTATTTTTTCTACTCAAACACGCAGTGTACATACTTTAAAACCGTGTTGATGATGATGCTCGACCCTTAGGAATGCGCCGTCCATCTTCATGACCGATTATTATTCGCCTTACTTTATTGTTTTGCTTCTGATTCATTTGTTGTGGAAATGGGTTTCATTTTAGGACGGAGTGCGCCTGTGCAGTAATACCCCAAATTTAGTAACGGTCTTGCTCTGATCAGTTCAGCAAATCCCCTTCTACTCAGGTTTCGTGTCTTTCTCGAAGTTTAAGAACCCAACCGGGAGCCCTTTCTGAGTTCAGTTCAGTTTAGTTTTTACCATGCACTTTCGTGCGCCGGTTTTGGTCACTGTCTTTTGGTGCCCCATTTGAATAAAAGAACACAATGAAGATCGGAATGTTGAAAACAAATTCAAGCGGAAGATGGGGAATTCATATAGAATTGTGATAGGGGAATAATGAGTGGATGCCCAAGCACCACTGCTTGCAACACCCGGCCATATCACTCAGTGTCTCTAACCATCAGTGACCATCATCCCGAGGTCTCCATCCAGGGTGCCTATGTGACCTAGTCTCCTGGTTAGAGTTTTCATACCCTCATTCCAGGTATTTCTGAGTTTGTGGTTGAGAATACTGTTCTCAGTTTAGGAGATCTCAACACTGAAATAACAAATCAAGTTTTTATTCCTAGAACAGCGAAAAGTTAGTTCTGACCCTGGGTTACATAGACCCTTGACATAGTAAAACAGAGTGCAACGTCTATACGCATCCTCAGCCACTGCGATACACATGTTGTGTATTAGAAAAGCATGGACGGGCTGCAAGGTGAACTGTAGGAGTCTGGAATTACAGGGGGTTATGTAAAACCTGGCCAGTTTCATTTATGATGTTTCTAGAATGTCTACGTAGCTGGAGTCTCAATCGATGTCACTCATCTTAAGACAGAAGCGAGCACGCATGCACTAGACAAGCAGCTTGTTAGGAACATTATTTCAGATCTACTATTCGTGAGTTCAGAATACACTCAGAAGGCTGCGTTCATGAAAAAGATTCCTGTGTTGGAGCCGAAACTTCTTTAGGAAATCGGAGTACTATCTGATCATATTGGGTAAAGATTTTGTTTGTTTCTTTCACATTTTTTCAGACGCAATTGGTTTCGATAGGGATATAATATTCCGCTCCCAATTTGTGGTCAACAATATCATTTTGATTGTTTGGTACTTGAAGGATAGAAGTTGTATCGTGGCTTCTGTAGTGCAGGGTACAGTGAATAAGATTAGCAAGTAGCATACTCTGGATGTGAATGCCAAAGTTTATAGAACTTATTTACTAGCTCTCTTGTACTCAGTCGTTCCTCCGCAAAAAATGATAAATGCTACACACAATTCTGGATACAAAGATAACACACAATGTAGTCTTCATCTAGTTTTCTTTTTTAGTTGTGTAGCATTGCAAAATGTGCCAGGGTCTCATCAGGTCTGCACTTCATTAACAGTTGACGCACGAACGGCGTGAGGTGGGTGAGCGTTCCAAAAGATTGAAACTTGAAATGGTGTCCGCTGACGGAGATGTTGAGCGGACGACGCAGATGGTTTAGGTTCTCTTATATTTGATACACCAAACCGAGTTCCTTGGATTTCCATGATACTGAGTGGAACATAATCCCAATGATTGTAATCTCCCCCCACTGGTGAGGCAGTGCAGTCCCTTGACCATCTTTTCCGACATCTTACAATCACGTCGTAGCCATGGTCTCCGGGCTTGGATGACGTACTCTGAACGGTCGAATGTACACTGATAGCAATGTTGGGAACAGTACTGATTCAAGTGCACCAAAGAAGCATTCAAGGGAGCTGATATCTGCTTTTGCAAACGAAACCGGTTAAATTGGTCGTGCATTTTTACTCTTGATGATGCCTAGGTGCTTCTTGCTTGAGATGTGGTAGCTCTTGATTTCCGAGTAAATACGGAAATCTACTGTGGCGTAGGGATAGGACTGCATTTAGAAACATTGAATCCAATGTCGTTTTCCACAGAACATTGTAAAACTTCGGCAACAGTATTTTGTGGTTCATCCTGTCCAATGCTTTCGAGAAGTCCAGATTAATTACACCCCCTTCGTTGACTGTGCTACACCTTTTCCCATATAGTTTTGGCCTCCACCGACAATCCTTTAACCTGGATTCACAGTTCTTTAGCCGAAACCCGCAATGCTTTATCCACGATCCATAGTCCTTTAGCGTCAACTTTAATCATGCCGCTGTAGGCGAGTGTGGTTTCGAAAAGACAAATTTTTATTTTGGCACCGCTGTCCTTCGGCTCAGTAATATTCCATTTTTGTTCTACTCTTATCAAGTTCACTGTTACTTGGTTTACCTGCTCAAATGGTCACTTTTCAAATAATGTTTTGTGATGAAAGAATTTTGAAGACTTCGTTTGTCGCACAGTAGACCATTCTAACGAAGGAATACTTTTTGGTTTGCGGTTCCTGGAATGTATGATTTTATGTTTGAACTGGATTTTGTAAATTATACGTGTGAACTTGATTGCCGTCACATGAAGCCATTTTGTATTCATTGAAGTCATGGTCATCGGTTCTCCGTAGCAATAGGAACCTGGACGTAACCGATCCACATACATTGAGGAATGCCCAGGCTACCACGTGTCCGTTGAAGAGAAAAGAAGGCGCTGAATGTGCTCTTTGAGGTAAAGTTACGTACTACAGTAAGTGCGCAATCATTGGCACCAAAGTTGATGTTGTTTTAGTCGATCAGTACAGCAGAATTGACAGAGTTTATGATCGTGCATACATCAGACTAAACAGTGTCCCTTTTTCAATTGACTTTGATGGTATTCCTGGCCAAATGTTAGTCTGTGTTAGCCCATCCGATAAAGACAATTATCGGCAGTGGATAAAAAAACAGCGTGTGGAACTTCATTCGTTGTTCTTGAACGAGCGTTCGATAAAGCTGAGTTATGGTCAGAAATCCGATCTTCCTCGGAAAAGGATTGTATTTCAGAATGATCAACAGAAAATGAATCCATGATTTTTTGGTAACTCAGAGATTCAACGTGGTTCATGGTGTTCTCTCTAATAGTTTAAGTGCACAACCAGTCTTCCGTAGGTGCGTAGCCACGTATTCCGTTGAGGGCACTGAGACAATATCCCCGAATCGACTTCTTCCAGGACGCATTCAGCCCACTCTTGACGCGCTGTGAACAAGGCGGCAACGTAGGAAATCAACAGTGAAAATGACAGACAGAGTGATAGAATGAAATAGGTAACACAATTTCCCGTATAACATTGAGCTTTACAAACCAGGTCGTTCCATTGTTCTCGATACAGCATTGCCTACTCAATCAGTAGCAGTAAGTGTATGGATTATTTCAGATCCAATTCAAAATAGCTTTGAGAGCACATGAAATTCCCCGTTACTCACTTGAGAAATTGGGTAGTTGTACTCTCGGTGAATATGGAAAATCTTACAAAGGATGCTATACTTCTGAAGTGCACTGCGAAGTCCTTTTGGTGGCTCTCCATTCAAGTCTTGCATGAACAAACAACTTTGTACCACAACAAAATAATTATTATTGATCGGAAGTAACTGGCACTGAGATTTTCAAAGTTGAGATAAAATTCTCTTGTCTACGCGCATTCGCACGAGTTTGTGTGTGTGCGTTCAATTCTGATTTTCTTTCATGCAAATCCTCGAACTCGTCGCTCCGTTATTGGTTTTATTACGTGTTACTCGTCTTTCATATATTGAATGAAATCATCATAGGTCAATGCGAATTCACAGGCACAGGGGCCATCAAAATATTCTCCCCTTTCGGTCATCCTTCCTTGTGAGTCCGTCGCATTTTTTCCCATGTACGAATCATTTCATTGGTGGAACAAAATGTTTCTAAAAACC